ATATGAAATGGAAACAAAGGAGAAACAACAAATGAATATTGCAGAAAAGCAATAGAAAACAGCAGCAGATTAAACATTATGAATGTTCCAAATGAAAAAAAAGGAACTTTTTTTTTAAAGTACGTTTTGTTTAAAATAAACAAAAAGGATAAAAATCTAGTTTTCAGCTTACAAAACTTTTCTTAGTTTTGAGCTGTCATCGTTATTACTGTTGCTGCCTGTTTTTTTTTTCCTTTATTTGTTATTATTTTGTAGTTTTTTTTCTACTGCTTTAGCATTTCTGATCTTTTTTCTTTTTGAAAAGAGTATTTGTTGAATAATTACAGTTGTTTTGCAACTGCTTTTTTTTTTCCAATGTTTCCTTTTTTCTCTTTGACTCTGCTATTAAAAATAGCTGAATCATGAGTTATCTGGTGCCTTCTTCATCTGTTTTAGTGATTTTTTTTTTTGGCTTTTAGCTATCTTTATTTTCTCTTTGTTTACACTTTTTTGCATTACTTTTTCTGTGCAGTTTTTTACTGGCAAAAATTTCTTTTTGTGGTCATACATTTATTGGTTTTTTGATTACTGCCGTTTTTTCTTTTGCAATTTTGTACAAAAATATTTGCTCATAAGTACCAAAGTCGGTATAAGGAAAAGTAGTAAGAGCAAAGAAATAAAAAATAAAAACACCACATACTTTTCAATTATCCAAATAGTTTATCAATACAATTAGTTTGGTTGGTTTAGGTTTAATCAGAAAAAACTGTTGAAAAAAAGAAACACCAGTGACAATTTTTAACTTTTATTTGTTTGTAAAGTATTTTCCACGGATTATTTGCGAGTAATTCCTTTTGCTTTTTTTCCCCTTCTTTTTTTTCATATCGCTGTTAATGTTTTCTGTTTTGTGCACAGTTCTCCTTTTTCAAACTTCTCATTTACTTTTCCTCGTCTTCTTTTTTCTCACAATTCCAATCTTTCTTCAGAACACTTATAAAAAAAAAAAAAACAGAAAAATCTGTTCCCACAAATGGCTACTAATTTCAGTGAGCGAAAGATAGGGCAAAGATACTAAAATTGGAATCAGTGCTGCGAGGAAAGCAGACCGTTTGAGCAGTATTTATTTTTGGTTCTAACTTTACTCGTCTTCGTAGCATTTGGTCTCCAACTTTCGCCATCGCGATTTATTTCCTTCTTTTTCATCTGCTTGCTTTTTTCTTCCAAAACTATTTATATCCGCTTTTTTATCTATTTACATTTTTTGCACAAAAAAATTTTTTAATGCAATAATTATTGCTGATAAAATTTTACAAATGAACAACATAAGTTTTTTTTTTTTTGGCTTCTTATTACCTATTTTTATTGCAAACGAAAAGAAAGAAGAAAAAGAGAAAAATTAAATAAATAAGAACAAATAAGTAAAGAAGTAATACACCATAAATTTAATTGCACTGTTGGATGATGGCAAATAGAAATAATTTTGCTGCATATCCTTCTTTTTTTCGCTGCTTCTTCTGTTGCACTTTTGTTGTTACTTTTTGTGGATATTTGACAAACAACTTTTAATTCCTTTTCATCGTTTCGTTTCGTTCTTTCTTTTTCTTCATTCCGTTATTTATTTGTTACAGTTGGCAAAAAAAAAAAGAGATAGATTAAAAAAATTGATGGGCATTACTGATGACTAAGAAGAAGAAATGATGTAAATAAAAAAAAATAAATGACAACGAAATGCTGAGATGAAGGAAGAAAAAAAATTTTTTCAAGCTAAGTAACAACACCAACAACAGCAGAAGAAGAAAAAAACGGAGTTCCAAGAAAAAAGATGAAAAAAAAGTGAAAAAGAACGATAAATTAAATATGTTTACTCATTTGTTGATTCTTCTTTAACACTTGCAAACAGAAGAAGCTCAAAAAAAAAA